CAGCTGCGTCCTCCACAATGTTCCAGCAAATAAAAACTCTAAGGATTTGCTGGGCTTTTAAAAATTCAGTGCCAGATTTTCATATTATAAATACTTTACTGAGGCATCTCAAACTGATAAAGACTAAGAACCCAGTTCTACCTGGAGAACATAAACAGGGATAAGCTCTTGGTGTTTTGCCAAATTTAAATTTCACAGTAATGGGTTGGGTATTATGTTAGTGTGAGGAATAAAGTAGCAATAACACCAAATGCAAATGTGAGGACTGTAGATTTGAGAAGTAAAAATACATCTGAGAATCACTCTGGGAATAGTAATTATTTTGTGATCTCAGATTACTGCCATTAGTTTAAACATCTCCCTCAATCCAACCATTATAAGTTGTTTAGCACAGTCCTATTGATAGATGGATGTGTTTCATCTTTACTTCCTTTTACTGTCTGCCCTCTGGTGCAAGTGCTGTCCCTTGAGATTTGATCAAAGGACACTTAACAAAAGTGGAGGCAAAAAACCCGGCTAATTAACACCCAGAAAAATGTATCCCTAGATAATGGCTGGATAAATCAATATGGTTGTTAATTACTGCCATGCCCATTTCTCAGGTGCAAAAGGCATTGTTTTTCACTTTTCTCCTCTGCTCTGTGAACCCTGCCCCCATGATTTTTAGAATCTTAAGACCATAGACCACATAAAATTCAGACAATTGATAATTTTTAAATATACAGAAGCGAATCTGACAATACATTAGTTTTGATGTCATTTTTTTTTCCGAAAGATGGAGACACTGGGCATAGGAGTTGGGGGAGGGAGAGAGAAGGAATGAAAAGTGAATTTAAACCCTTTATCTGTATTTCAGAATCCATTCCCACATTTTAGATCATGAAGGTAAACTTACTAAAGACCTTAATTTTTATTTTGGCTTCCACAATCTCATGAGAGAATCCCATTTCCTAGTGGTTATTTGAATCCTCTCCAGCTTGTCTATTTGTTGTTGTTGTTGTTGTTGATTACAAAGAGGTAAGAAGGACAATGAAATATGCATTTACTGCACAATTTAACATCAATAGAAGTGTAGTTGGGAAGAAAATGGTTTATATGCAAAGACATAAATCTAAAATACCAAATAGACACCTCCTTCTTTGGTAGGGGACACAATCAATGTTTACAAATTAGGAAAGTTAAAATCCTGACCCTCAACTTTATGTACTTGAACAGTTATTCAAATATTCTTCTGAATATATTTATTTGATACAGATGGATTCATTATGACTTTATAGCTCACAATTTCAATTCTGGGTTCTCAAAGCAAATGTCCAGAAAATGCAACTCACTATAAAATGATCTACTTCCCAGCAAAAGAAGGGACAGGGTAAGGTAGAGAATTATTTTTGCTAAAGAAACATGGATTTTGTTAGGGCGATACTTACTTGTATGAAATCATACATTTTAAAATAATTCACCAGGTTTTATTTAGCTGTTTAAAGGGAAATGAAGTGAGAGGTATGAAAAATCTCCAATTTTAATTTAAGATTATGAGGTATTTTGAGAGTCATACAAATTCAGTCAACAAATACTAATTGAGCTTTTACTCTGTGCCTTGCTCTCATGATTTAGGCTTTTTAAAAAAAACTCATTTACATATGTTCCAGCAAAAATATACAGAGAAAACTTGAAATCCATTGGATGTAAAAAGCTTCTAAACTATCATCAACCACACTCTAAAAAAATTTAAGTTGTCCTTAAAGAACTAAGCTACACGACTAAGCTACACCAAACCAGGGTGATCTCTAAATGCCAAAGTGGGTCGTGAGTATAAAAGTCATTTGCTTACATCTGACTCAAAACCAGCAGCTTTGAAACCCAAAGAAATATCATTTCATTTAAAATTTGATGCCCACATGAACACGAAAGTTGTTGAATATAACATATACTAAAGTTATGAAAAGTTTATACAAATTTATGAAAAGCAAGAGCTTCTAGTGGACCTAAATTAATCAGGAAAGAACGTGTAGAAGTTAAATACCTTATTACTGAGACAGCCTAGAAAATCATAAATTTGGTAACAAAGTAAGAGAAGATAAGGTAATTTCAAGTAAAGATAGAACAAAATTAGCCAAATTTAGTGTATTTCCAGCAAACATCCGGCCCAGAAAAGAGTAAAATTTTAGAAACTGAGGTAGTGAATTAGAACGTTTAAACTTAGAATTTTAATCTCAATATTCACATAGAATCCCGGGATTAACAATTTATGTCAAAGTTATGTAAACATCACCATTGTCCACTGCTGCATGGGCAATGGAAGACGTCTCTTTAGGCAGTGTGAAACTTAACCCCAGAAACAACTGGTTTGATGGTTCTGATTTTTAATCTGTAATATTTCTGGAAAATCGTAAGGCTCTAGAGATATTTCTCATACAAGGCAAAAAAGGACTTGACAGCTCTAAGCATGTAATCTTCATCAGTATTAATCAGGTTCCCAGGGCAAAACCTCTGCATCAATAGGTATATCTATCTCCTTCCTACATTAAACATGCCTCCGACATAGCTCCCTGTGTATCTGAATCACTTACCAGGAATACTTTATGGAGTAAATTTAGAAAGAAGAAATGCTCATTCTTCAAATGTGATGAGTTAAATAATCCCAGGCAGAGGGGATCAATATCTGCCTCTTGGAGCTACGTGTTAGCTCCTTCGGAGTGGGCATCCTGTCACTTGCTTTATTTATATATTCCCTCCCATGCTCCCTTGCAGAACACAACAGATTGTTTTAAAAACTGTTTTGATTCCACCACCCGCCCCATGTAATTATATCACTCAAGAAATGCTGGCATTGAATTTCTGTCCTCTGCTTTTGAATCAGATGAAACACCTGTGCAGTCACTAAAAAGCAAATGGACTTAGTCTGGGGCTTTTCAAGTTTGGGCCTGTTTATGTTCAATACCAAACGGTAACATACCCACAACCTGGGGAGCCATAGACCTTGTGAATCAGAGATCTAGAAAAGCCCTCTGTCTTCTTATGGAGGTTGCTATGGAGATGACGGTGTGTAGGAGGGGGAGATAGTAGGGGAAGACAGTGGTGATAATTGAGAATGATCAAGCCTAGATTTTTATAAGAAGACTTAATATCCAGAGATTTGATAAACATTGTTACATATATACAGATATCACTGCTATGAAAGCAAGAAAACCAGAGAAAGGATACACAGAGAATCCAAACTGAAATCTAGGTATCTTAAATTATTGACCACAAAATCAGTGAATTTAACATGCGTCTTGGAGATCATGCCCTATTCATATCTGAATCCTTAATATGTAGCACATACCTAACATACACAACTGCCCCTCAAAAAATATTTGTTGAACTGAATTCTGTTGGAGAGGTAAGTTAGGTAATAAAGCTCCGTATTCTATTTTCCAACAGCTCATTTGTGCAAACTATTAGGAAAGGAACGATTCAAATCTAGAGATACACTGTATCCAGCCTGAGGGCTCAGAAATATTTATTAAATGAATGAATAAATCAATTATTTAATTAATGAAAATTTGTTGCCCACATTCTGGTATAGATTAGACATATCTTCCCTTTAGAGTTAAAACCTCACTTAGAACACTGAGATTATGACCCAATAATCTGAAAAAAAATCTGACCAGCCAGGTCAAAGTTACTTTCCTCCCACACAGCTGAGCGTCCAAAGGAACAGATCACACTCCTGCAAATCTGCCCTGCAAATTATTGACATGTCCCTATGTAATGCTAAGAACAGGAACCCACAGAACTTCCTGGATCCAAAGCCATTTGCAAGATACCAAGCAGTCAGGCTTCCACAAAATCTGAAAATTGTAAATAATTTTAGGAAATGGAAGATTTTCACTTTTGTTATACTAATTTTTTTAATGAATCTTAAATTTCTCTAGAATTAACAAAGGAAATGTTTAATGGCTCTCCTTTATTTTTAAAGAAAAGGAAAAAAAATTAAAGCAACCCAAAGAATCAACTAGAAAATTCTATTTATTTCTCTTAGCCTTTACAGAAATAAGATCCTAACCCAACTCCAGCTTTTAACTCTATTAAACATACACAGAAATTCGATGATATCTGTTCTCTATTTTATATATATATACATATATATAAATATTTAACTTATAGCAAGTCTCCAAACAGACGACTTGGGAAAGTTGATAGGAAATAATCAGGGACTGCAGTTGCCTGCTGGACATTATATCATATATAGCTCACTATAAAGAAAGACGATAAAACATCAAAATGTATCTGGGTGCAAATGGGGAACACACTGAAGCTTCTAATTGCCAAAGTCCTCTCAACTTCAGCACAGTAGATACATTTCAAAGCATCTCAGCCGTTGACATGGCATGGTTCTGTCCTAATTTTGTGTTTACTATGTTATATTGCTGCACAAATTCACTAAACACACAACGAACAAAATTAGTATAAATATAATACCATGCTAACTGCTGTTGAAATCCCATGGAAAAAATTATTTTTGGTTGTTTGATTTTGGTTTTTGATTTTGTTTCGTTTGCCACTTAGAGTCAGAACAGTTCATGAGGTTTACATGATCTTTATGGCCCCACTTTGGCTTTATGTTTTTTTGACGTCAATCCAATATAGAAGTCTTCATGTCCCACCCCCTGTCAATTTTGTAGCTGCCACCGGCTGCTACACATTTGCTGCTTTGGTGGTTAATCTGGATGTCTGATTGCTCCAAGTTATGTCTTATGGACTTTTCTTTAGCTAGTCAAGGAAGTGACTTTAAATTTTCCTGGGATCTTATGGCTCCTTCCATGGGATTTGATGCTTTCGATTGATATTTATATATGTATTTATATACATATATAGATACAGGAAATACACACATTAACACACTATAATATATATATATATATATATATATAACACATGTATATTCACATATACGTATGTATTGTTTTTTGCAAATGAAAAAATAAAGCAAGCAAAACAAGACTGACCTAACCTACCTGTACTCGGCTCACATTCAACGAAGTCTTCGTCATCGCTTGAACATTCAGCAGATGAAACAAGGTCATCTGATGTTGGCTGCACATGTCAAAGAAAACATAATGAGGTAGGGGGAAGAGAGAGGAGAGAGAGAGAGATAAGGAAACCAATGAGCAAAAGCATCAAAGACTTATCACTGCGTCCTGCCTCCATCATCATTGCTGTCTCTCTCCTCTAAAGAGGGTATGCTGTAGGGTAGAGAATGTTAACTCCTGTGTAGCTTTGAATGGCTCTGGGTCCAGACAATCTGTGTGGATCTATGTAAAGCTGAGTGCCCCAAGGTGGCTTGAGGAGGCTGAAGGCTATCCTATCCCTGTAGATCACATTATGCAGCCTGACTCTATCCTGACTTTAATTTCAATTTTGAGAATCAGAAGGGCAGGAGAAGGGCTATTGCAAATGGTGGCAATACAAGGGAGCAAGTCAGCACAGAGGAACTACACTGCAGCTTGGAGAGGGTTTCAATACATATGGTGTGCAGTCTCAAGTGTATGATTTGGAGGTTGTGAATCTATAGGCTGGCATAATTAATGAACACTGTGGAATGCAGTCTGTTCGGGAATAGCATAATGGCTTCTCTCACTATCAGCAATTCTTCATGTAATTGCTGCAGTTAGTTGAATTAGTAACGTTGACCAGCAGACAGACACTACAAGACAGCCTCTGGACACAGGTAAGGCTGTTTCTGAAGACAGCAGAAAAAATTTTGATTGCAACAAAAGTAATTCAATTTGAGACAATTTTTTTTCTATTGAATCCTGCAGAAATTCCCCAATGCCAGGGAATCTGCTGCTGCAAGAAATATAGGGGACTGTGGGTGTGGGCAGTAAGAAGGCCCCTTGCTACACAGTAGACGAGAAAAGTACTTTCTGTACCTGGTACATTCTACATGCACAATAAATTACTCTTTCAATCATTCCCTCAATTATTAAGCTACAGATCTTGTCTAAAAACCAAACTTTTGTCCTACTCTCTGCATAAGAGTACTCAATATATAGCAGTTGTTCAACAAATGCTCATTGATTTCTCCTTCCTGATGTTAATAATATTAACTGACTTGCCGGTCTTATTATTCCAAAGCATTGAAGCCTGAATCCATATTCAAGAGAAAAAGCAATTACAAGTCAGATGCTGTGCTAGACAGGTATATATGCTTATTAGTTGTAGTTATTACTAATTAATTAGACACAATTCTCACAATGATCCTTTGGGGCAGGGATAATTATTACACTTTTAAGGGGAACTGAAGTTCAGAGAGGTTAAGCAAGATGCTAAAGGACCCACAGCTAGTAAAAAACATAGTGAAGATTTGAATAAATACATCTTAGTCAAAGTCTGCATCTGTAGCTCCCATAGGCTTCTTTATACCCCTTATTACACGAGGTAATGGACTGAACTGTGCCCCTTCCCAAATTCATATGTTCAAGTTCTAACCCCCTAGTACCTCAGAATGTGACTGGCATGTGGAGATGGGGTCTTTGAAGAGGTAATGAAGTTAAAATGAGGTCATTTGGGTAAGTAAATCCAATATGACTGTTGTCCTTACAAAAAGATGAGATTATCACACACACACACACACACACACACACACACACACACACACACACACACACACACACACATGGAAGGCCATGTGAAGGCACAGGGAGAAGACAGCCATCTACAAGCCAGGCGGAGAGGCCTTGGAAGAAACCAACACCCCTGACATCTTGACCTCGGAATTCTAGCTTCCAGAACTGTGAGAAAATAAATTTCTGTTGTTTAAGCCACCCTGTCTATGGTACTTTGTTATGGCAGCCCTAGCAAATGAATACACATGACAACCCATATGCTTAGTGTTTCCAGACAACATCCTTCTTGAAATAGACATAGTAGGCACAGAATTGCTGGACACAGCAAAGAACAGTAGAAAAACCACATTATGTAATGGATTTTGCTTAATTAACAGTGGCAGAGAGGCGCCTTAAACCATGTAATTGATCTTTATTCAATACCTGTCAGGAAGATACTTCTATCTCTGCTTCTCCTTAAAGTCAATAGAAAAAGATTTTTCAGTCATACTATTTTTATTGTCAACTAGACACTACTGAAATGTGCATTTCATTTCCACAACTGATGCTGGCAGCTGTATCCTGGAGCACCATTATTCGTGTTAGAGAGATCATGAGCTCACTCTCTTGGAGTTTCCTGCTATGATGGGGCCCAATACGGGTCCACTTCCGCTCATTAAGGGAAGGGAGGTGATAAGAGAATAAATATTAACTGTGTAAATGCAGAAGCAATTAGAAGAGGCAAACACCATTTGGGGAAGGGCCACAACTATTGTTTGATTGTTCTAAAGCATGCATTTTCTATGGGGAGGATATCCACCCATGCCCCTCCCCCAGCGAGCAATAATTGTTTTGGGCAAAAGGGGGAGGATCTTAGATATGAAAGTGGCTTGTGATCAGCCAAGAGCCACAGTACTAAAATGAATATACAGTATATCTGGTATTAAAATTTTATGGAGACGGACAGTTAAGAAAATGTCTAAAAGTCTTAGAGGCTGGTAATGCAAAAGAGGTTGAGAATACATTTCTAAAACGTAATCAATCGAAAATTAATTGTCAGTGACTTGATTATAAGGACCTTACAGAATGGCCCATATAGGACTTAACTAGCTTTGATCCCTAGAAAACTGGTGAGTTAATGAAAATCTAGGGAGCTTGTCTCAAGAACTGAAGGCCAGGCAATAAAGTTTAAAAAGGTCACTGAGCAAATGTATAAAAACAATGCATAACTCAATAGAAACCAAAAAAGGCATTAACATATTAGTGGAATCTTTAACTTAATACCAAAAAGTATCTTAATTTTTAAGAGAATTAAGATTTTACTTAATCCTTAGAATTATCTTAATTTTTATTGGCTAAAGAAACAATGTAAGGTTTTTGTTTGTTTTTGTTTTTGTTTTCGGTTTTTTGTCTTTTTTAAGATAAGTACTAGGCTCTGTGGTGGAAAGGATATTTCCTATTTTCCCCTCAGCTTCCCCCGCCTCCTCTAATCCCTCACAGGTTCTCGCCCCTGTGGTTTGAGTGACACTGTCCCCAGCCCTACTCCCCTCCCCCATAACCACCTCCACTTCTGTCCCCAAAATGGGCCCCTAATCCCCCTGGCAGGCCCCAAACATATGCTCACCCATGTTCTCACTCCTTGTGCCTCACTTCCCAGAGATTTTTTTTTTTAATATGAGTATGGATGAGAACAAGTTTCCTCCCAGGCAACGGAAACACATTTTGCCAGTAGCTCCTATAAATGGTGACTAGACTCAAAGAAGATGAGATGACAGACAGTCTAGAGACTGTGGTAAGATTGGGCTCTAGACAGCACAGCTATGAATCCCAGCTCCTAAACGTACAGTCTGTGACCTGGGGAAGCCAGTTACTCCCCCTCTCCAGGCCTCAATTATCTTCATCTGTAAATTGGGATAAACAGAGTGATTTGTTATCGACTGAGCATGTGATTTCAGTGTACTGTTAAAAGTGAAGCTCTGTTCTTGGCATATGGTACATGCTCAATAAAACTAGCTAACTAATTCAATCAATCAATCAATCAATAACAGGAATGTTGAGCCTGGGAGCCACTCCTAATTTAAATAGATGTGCTATCTGCCTATGCACTCTATCTTTAATGATTTATCCCCCATTAGAACTGCTCTTCATTGCTGATAATTCCTTACCTCCATTTAATGGTACAAACACCATTTCTGGTTGGATCTGCCATGAAGAGAGATAAAGAAAAATATACTCATGAAGATGCCAAGAGAGCTTAAAAAGCCATTGGAAGATCTGTTTCCAGTGGCTGTGGATCCAAACATTGTGTGTGGTCTTCTGTGAATTCAGCCCCTTCCTTTCTGTCCCTCAGACTTCACCATCACCATTTACAGATTCAGCCAATGAAACTCCCAAAGCAATTACAAACATCTCAATCCTCCCCTGGCCCAACATGGTAAACAACGTTTATCTGGAGAACCTGGCATCTCATACAGCCATGCCTGCCACAAAACACTGTGCAGTTTCAGAAATGCTTTCTCTGCCAGGAGCAGGAAGCTTCGATTTGCAAAGGGCTCAGGATTCAGATCACTATTTTTAGGGATTTTAAAAAAATGACTTCTGTCCTTGCCACCTAAACACAACAACAAAAATTACAAACCAAGGTTTTTGGATATACACTTAGGATCATATCCTAAAGTAATGATTATTTGATCCAAAATTACTCTCAGAAAACCCAAGGCTTTCTTTTAGTAGCTTTTTAATTTTTCTTGTCTGTGCCCTTCCCCAATTACAAGCAAATGCAGGGTCTGACTCTGACCCTTGGAAGAAAAGGCACACTTCCCTGATTATTGGTTCCCATGACTAGTGGAGTATGTTTCACTACTGCAGTATCTCACAGACTTGGGGTACAATTATCATGAGAAGAATGGATCTATGGACTTTTTTCCTTAAATAAAATGCAGGAGCCCAAGGCTGTGTGTGTGTGTGCATGTTTGTGAATGTGTGTATGTATCTTCTTACAATCACAACCATTTTTCATTATTACTCATAATTTCTTAGAAAGAAGAGCAGTTAGTACTTTTGAGAGTAAAAAAGGTATTTGAACTCTCTAGAATCATGCCTACTAATTTATCACTCATTAAACACTTGCTGTATTCAGGCTTTGTGCTAAGCAGTGATCACATATTAACTCTTTCAGAACTCATAATAACCAAGGGTACAGACATTTGTAGTGACATCTGCTGTTTTTCATATAGTTATGTGAGGAATGTTCATCAAGTTGCCTTCCATGTCATCTTAACTTTTTTTCCCTCACAATGATTGTCTAAAGGTCTCATAATTCCTAATAGCTAAGCTTAAAGTGTTTACATACTGTGGTTCCCATATGTCAAATATCAACATTATCTACAAGTCATTCAATGAAGAATAGAAGATCCATATCCACACCCCAACCAGTTTCTTAGTGGCTAAGTGACTAAGTCAACCATCAGTGATACGGAACTATATCAT